TCACCTTCTAATTTGGCAAAAACTTGAAGTATTCTAAACACAAACATTCTTTATTGGGAGCTCTGCTAAAATGGAAAAGTGGTAACAGGCCACTAAAGCAACTATTAAGGGTGTTTTATAAACAGAGATAGTAATAGGCTAGATCAGAAAGACCAGAAAAAATCCTGTGTAATGATCAAAGGAATGAAATTAAACCCTACATTGAGGTAAAATAGTAATGTCAGCCTCATATCCATTTATGTGTGAAGATGACAGCCTGCCTTTACTTGGCACTGTGTGTGTAATGTGGCACTCCTTCCTCAGAACTGCCCCCTTGGATGGGTGCTATCTTGCTGTTGCCATATTAGGTGAGGAAACTATGCAGGAGAAAACTGAGATGTTCAGGAGTCAAGCTTTGAAATGGCAGCAGCAGGGTTTAAAATCAGTGCTGTCTGACTGAAACCCACATGGTCAATATTGATGCCATCCAGACTCTCAGTAAATATCAGAGGCCTCTGTAGTAGGTTCTGATCTCCTGCTCAGTGCTATGGTGCAAGCTTTAGAAAAAAGACTGAAAGCACTAAAAGAGAAAGAGAAACTGGGGAGCCAGGACGACCAGTGCTGCTTAATTCCCAAAGGCACTGGTCTTCCCAAGGTACTCATTTTTATTAGGGGTAAAGGCCAGCTACATAGAAGGGCATGCAGTCATGCAGTTTCTATGGAAAGTAACGCAAGCAAGGCTCATGAAGGACAAAACAAAGCATTCTCGAATTAGGAACAGAAGAGACAAAATATTATCCTTCTAGTTAAGAAGGTTTTAGTTGTGGGAATGGAGTTTGGGTATGAGTTACTCTGATCTTGAGAAATAGGCTTCAGCCATGGTCACTTCAAGAAGCAAGCCAATTGTTCTGTAACTGCTTACAGCCTGCTTTGGGCATAATCAATATTGCAGTCCCCTGCAGCTAAAGTAGTTCTTTGTAATGAGCCAGAGTCAGAATCAAGTAATCAAGATGGCCAGTGACTACAACTGTGCTGTGCCATGGCCAAAAAAAAAGAAAGAGAAAAGAAAACTAGTGGAACCAAAATTAGGATCCCTCTACTAAAAGTACTGTGTACCCTGTATGATCTTTATGATCTATCTAGAGTAGTGGTGGCAAATATATGGTATGTGTGCCTCAGCAGGCTATTTGCATTATTGAAAACTCTAAAAATTTGCCATCACTCATCTATAGCCTTCTCAGCTAGCTCAGATTCTGGCATACAGAAATCTTCCCCAACATCTGAATAGCAGCCCCGAGTAGTCAAGTAGTCATCTAGAGAGGTAGAGAGAAATACCACTTAATAATGGATTGTTAGCCATTAAGAGGCTTTAACTCACCTGTCAATTACTGAGCAGTCCGTTTTCTAGGCAGAGCTTCCAGGATAAATTAGAGTCCTTGTCCTGAAGATTTCCATCTGGCTGGGTGGGGCGAGTATAGAGGGTACACAACTAGAGTAGAAAACAGGCAAAACAAAGTAAGTGGTATAAAGCAGGTATAGCTATAAAGAAGTTCTTTGGAGAAATACACCTGGGAATTCAAATTGGGTATTTCAGTCAGTGTATTCTTTTTTTTTTTTTTGGTACTGGGGATCAAACTCTGGTCCTTACACTTGCACAGCGGGCGGTGAAACCACTGAGCTAAATCCCCAGCCCTGTCAGTGTATTCTTTGTTCCATCTGGTTTAAGAATCCTGAGAGTAAAAACTGTGGAGAGTAGCTGTCATGTTTTCAGGACTCTGCTGCTTGGAGAATGAGGGAAACAACTCACTAGGAATACTGAGTCTTTCTCTAGAGATGGTCCTACAAGCCAGAATGATATCCTTGTCAGGTACATGATGGAGAGTGTGAAAATCTGGTCACATCACAGCTTGAAACAACTTTACAGCCACTGGAAATAACATCAGTCCTTGTCTCTGGATAGTGTTGGTGGCTGCATTCACTTGGCTACCTGAGCTGATTTCATCATCACTGACCTTCCTAGGAAACTGCTTCCAGAGTGTTTTTAACAGGTTAGCAGCCTCTCTCTGTCCCACAGTCATAAGCAAATGGCTTCCCAAGGAGCATTGTTAAGCAGGCTCTCTCAATGGGGAGACCTCCAAAGCTCCATACACCAACAAAACTGAGAAGCAGGTGTTAGAAGAATCAGAAGTCTGACTATGGGGTGCAGAGATAAGGCCAGAGATCCATATCCCCTTGACAACATCCTCTGGGAAATAGCCCCTATTACAGTTAACCAGCTGAGCTGGGTCTGTGCTGGTTTTTCATCTTAAATCAAGAAAAAAAGCTCTGTCCACCTGACCCCATGCTCTGAAGGAACAGTGGCTACAATCACTATGTTTAATTAATATAGACTTTATGGGCTGCTGATGGCAAGTCCCAGGGAAGTCTCTGGGGGAAGATGTATTGCTACCCAGACTCCTGCCTGCAATAAGGCAGAGTTTGACCCACAGCATTTCCTGATCTGTGACACCATCTCAGTTGAGTCTTGAATATCTTAAAAACATTTTAAATCGTATTATGGAGAAAATTATACTTATTGAAGTTGAGGCTTTTACGAAGGGTTGGAGGAAGCAAGTGAGCTAAATTTTACACACTACATGAAAAGTAATCTTACACTACAGACTGGCTGCTGGACAGTGGGTGCTATGTTGGACTCTCCAACGATGGACTGCTTGTCTGAAGGGCAAAGGCAATTCTTGCAGGTAAAGATAGATGAAGTTGACAAGGGAAGAGAACAAGAGGCATTCATAACACAGTGAAAGACAATAAAGTATAGAGCATAAAATCCTGCAGTCCTTCCAAAGGCACAGAGTGAAAACTGAGACTGGAAAGGATGTACATAGAGGATAGAATAAGGACTTGAAAGGCTTGGTGAAGGAATCTGAAATCTTTCTGGAGGCTTTGGAGTAAGAGAGTAACAAAAGTCAGCACCACATTGCAAGTCAGTTTGGAGCATTTTTTGACCTGAGGAGATTATATGAGGTAGAGGATCAGCTGTGTCAGATACTCCACAAGCACTGGCGAGTCGTGACCTAGCCGTATCAGTCTTGGGTAAGATGGACCCCTTCATGCAAGTGTAGGCTGCCTGAACGGTGGAAATACTTGATCTAATGCTGGGTCACCAGGTCCAGAATATTTCTTCCACTCTTGCTTTGCTGACTAACCTGAAAGATTTCTAGCTATGCTTTTGTTCAGTTGTTTTGTTTTTGAATGAGGTCACAGATTGGTAGGACAGAAGGTCTTCAAGGACAGTAGGTCTTCGTGTGCTCTTTAGAGACCCTCTCACATCAGTGACTCCTGATAGGAGGTGACTCACTTACTTCATCTCTCAAGAATTTTGGCTGTATTAAATATTAGTTTTTGATCTTTGTTGTAAAACTTCTGTTTCCACTGGCTGCTCCTATGGCTGTATGACTGTTAATATCTAGAATATTCATTTTGAGGATTCAAGGCTTGTTATATAAACAATAAAGATGAAGTATAAGCTTTTTTTTTTGTACCAGGGATCGAACTGGGGTCCTTGGGTTGTGCAGTAGGTGGTGAAACCACTGAGCTAAATCCCCAGCCCTAGATTAAGTATAAGCTTAATCTTGAAATTTTTATAAGAATGCTGAACAGGTAACTTTACTATGTACACTCTGTTAGGACCAGTGTCACTTTAAAGGGTTTTAACATGTATTAAAATCACATTAAGTTTGAAATGCGAGTTCTGATGGAGAAAGGCTACTCCAGGCTCAGATGATATTATCAGCATCTAAATGAGCCAAGAAGTACTGCAGGAAATTACAGGTGACATTATTATCCACAAGACCAAATCAGAAGGCCTTAGGCAAACCCTATGAGTTCTAATAAAATCAGATTTAGCATTATTTGTGACTATCCTTTGTTTTCTGTCATTCATGTAATAAAAAAGTGAAATAAAGGCAAAGGACCAGACCAAGGGTTTTAGATAACAAGAGTCTGATTGGCCACACTGAATGACTGCTTTAAACAGCAAAGACAGCTGCTCCCATCCAGTCCTGGTCAATTGCATTATATTATAATAGAGGGCCAACTTCTGTCCCTAGCTAGGGTGGTCAGACCCACACAACAGGGGAAAACAATCAGTAACCAAAATGAATCTCAGACTAGAACACCGGAAGCTAAAATCACTCAGGACATCTCAACAACTCCGCCCTGAAGAGGTATGTGCCAAAAGTATGACTCTCAAAAGCCAGAAACCAAATTTTTAGGACTTGTATACAGATTGAATTAGTATCTTTCAGAATACAAATCCATTTTCAGATGGTTTTGACTCAATTCAAAGAGAACACACCTCAGGCTTTTAAGGCAGTTTCAAAAGGTCCAGTATTCTGAGTGTGCTCAGCATGGCTTGTGTTCTTGTACATGTCAACATACCAGACTCATTACTTTGTGTCCACACTTTTTCTCATTTTAGAGAGCCAAAGGCAGCCTTAAGGCCCTTTAAAGTACCATTTGAGAAACCACAGGTTTTAAGCTATTTCAAAATAAAAAATAGCAGAGTTCATCACATTTATAAGAAACAGGTAAGAACTGTCATGAAATACATTTTTTCCCAAAGAGGTGGGTTAAATTAATGCTAGTGGGGCTTTAAATGGACAGCTGGGAAGGCCTGTAGTTATGAAAAATTCAATATATATATTCTTTCAATAATTGTAAAGTCTTAAGAATATGGTTCCTTAGAACAGATGATGCCCTTTTTTTAATACCTTAGTGGAATTCTTTGATTACACCAGTTTCCTCTTACAGGGAAGAGGCGTCTCCTCACTGGAAAGTATTTTGTGAATATAAAAGAACAGTTTCTTGTTTTCATTATGTTTAATGTAAATGCTGTGGAAAACATTTTTAATTGCTATGCAACTCCTTTGTGAAAAAAGCCTGCATGCTCCTAAACTCTGTTACATCTGCTATGTGAAAAACATTTCTCCTGTAATTTTGTGTTACTTTTCTCCTGCTCTTTGCAGCAGCTATGCACTGCCATTGACTTTCCTTATTAGTTAGCTCCAGTACTTTCTTGGATTTGAATCCCACACTATAGAAAAATTTGGCTTTTCAGTAACCTTGTACAGTAAGTTCCCAACCTAGGAAAACATGAGTTTTGAACTTTCACAGATAGGAACAGACCTTGCATTAGGAATATTCACAAATGCAGACAAATCAAGGAAGTAGCTCAGGTGTCTGCCAAACACTCACAGTTGGATTGCTGTGTGCTTACCTGTCAGTGCAATAGTGCACAGTAGTAGAGTGCTCAGAGCCCAGGATGTCCAGAAGCAAGAGGAGATGCAGTTGGTGACATGGAGGTTTAGTTTGGGTTTGTTTGGGGATTTTTGATATGTTTTACATTGTATATTTGTGTCAAAGGTATGTAAGACTCACTTTGTGGGACTCATGAATGAATCAGGGACTTAACTGTATACTATTTGGCTAATGGATAATGTTTACATCCAGGGCTGAGGTAGCAGAAAGTGTCATTTTATGCTACTGCTATTTTTCTAAAGGAAGTTCACTTAGAGTTTACAAGTCCTTTGTCAGGGGCACCCAAATCTGAGCAGGCCATGAAAGCCATATGTTAGTGTCATTTTAGGACTAAGTCTTTAAAGTCAATCTGTAGTCTCTTGGTTATAAAAAGAGGCTGTTAGGCCTATACGCATATGGCAAATCATGGTGGATGCTATACTTTTTGGAAATTCCTGTTCATCCTGTAAGTCAGCTGAACTGGTGCCTCTTGTTTTAAGCTTTCTCTGTTCATCTTTACTCCTATCATTTTTTTAAGGCTTATCTGTTGATCCCACTTGACTGACAGTATCCTTTTTTCTTGTAAATTGTTACATACTCAAAAAGATATCCTTTTGTATCCCAATGACTAGGTCAAAATCTGGGATAAAGTTGATTGATGAATTAGTAAAGAATAAAAAGCATTATACATTATTCATTTTTTCCATTTTTGTTATGGTTCTGTTAATCATATCTGAGGTTGGGTTTGGGGCAGTAATGGGCAACTTCAATTCCTAGGAAGTGTGTACTTTATGTCTTGGATGGATATTTCATGTATATCTGAAAAGGACAAATTCTGAGACCGCCTCAGTCTATTTCACTCACCATATGCGCACCATAGAGCATACAAACGTGGACCTAGGTGTTGCAGTTCAACATAGCCTCTTGATTCAGTCAAGAGACATGGTAAACACAAGGTGTACTCACACTTATAAAAAAATCACCTCTAGGGCTTTAGCTCAGTGGTTCCCCAGGCTGCCCCACAAGCACAACGACCCGAGTTTGATCCCTGTACCAAAATAACCCTCTGAAATCATGAATGAAAAATAGCACAGTACATGCACAAACCAGTAAGACACCTGTGATTATCATCAAGTTATTATGTGCTGTGCAGAGCTGTATGTGCTATACTTTACACAACTGACAATACACTACATTTATTTCTACAGCATCACCACAAATGTGAGTAGTGTGTTGCACTCAGATGTTTGGGCACTGATGAAGCCAGGCAGTAGGAAGCTACAGTATAGTGTTATTGGCCCACTGTCTTATACGTGGTCTGTGTTGACTGGAACATTGGAACATGATTATAGTTCCTTTTGACTTGACTATAGTTCCTTTTTTTCTAAAGTATGTCTGAAGTCTTGCTGTTTGTTTGTCTCTAGGAAGTTCAGCGCTGTACAGCTGATATGAACATCACCGCAGAACATTCCAATCATCCAGATAACAAGCACAAAAACAGATACATCAACATTTTAGCATGTGAGTAATAATCCTGAAACTATCTTCAATTCTGAAGAAATTAAATCCTCTTGCTTGGATATAAGCTGAAAGCCAAGAAGTTGAAATCAGAATGCCAAAGAATGGTTCCTGCAAGCTAACCTCTCATTGGTCTGTCTCTAACAGTGTAGAAGAGGGCACATTTTCTGTCTTCTTGATCTTTCATTAAGCTGTCTGATGGGAGAAAGCTTAATAAGGTGACTGCGAGAAATGGTCTGAGCTGCACTGTTTCCACATGAGATGATACCATATGAAGTTTTGGAGCCAAAGTTGAAATGTCACTAGGCTATCTTAACAATTTTTTTAGCCAGTGAGAGCTAAATCTTTTCAATAGAAATAGAAATTTGAAGAACTGAATCAGGTAAGCTTAATATTTCAAAGCAGGGTTTTTTCTCAGCCAGTAATGGGCATTGTAGCTTCATTCTGAGCTGCATTTGAAAATTTTTGAGACAGAGTTTTGCTAAATTGCCTGGGTTGGGCTTGAACTTGGCATCCTTTGGCCTCAGCCTCCCAGCATGCTGAGATTACAGCTGTGCATCCCCAAACCAAGCCAAGCTGGTAATGTCCTTTTCTCTCTCTCTTTTTGTTAAACATTTGAAGAAGTATCAAACTGTTTTCCGTTTTACATTCCTGCCAGCAATATATGAGGGTAGGATATCTCCACATCCTCATCAATATTTGCTTTCCAGTTTGGTTTTTTTGGTTCTTGTTTGATAATAGCCCCCCTGATGTTTGTGGAGTGGTATCCTATTGTGGCCAATTTGCATCTCCCTATTGATTAGCTTTTCTTGAGTTTACTGGCTATTTATCTTTGAAGAAATGCCTCTTTTCCTCTTATCTTCTTTGACTGAATTGTCATTTTACTGTTGAGATAGATGATATCTTTATATATTCTGGGGACAGATCCTATATAATTGGCAAAAAATTTTTCTCTCATTCTTTGCATTGTCTTTTTTACTTCCTTAATGGCATCCCTTGAAGCACAGAATTTTTAAATTTTGGTGAAATCCAGCTTACATATTTTTTGATATTTATGCCTGTGTTTTTGGTGTCATATCTAAACATTGCCTGATCCAAGATTTACTCACTTCTAAGAATTTGGTGATTTTTAGCTCTCACTTTTAGCTCTCAAATCTGTTTTGATTCAGTTTTGGTATTTAGTCTGAGGTAGTAGTCCATCTCTATTCTGTTTTTTTTTTTTCGGTGCTGGAAATTGCATCCAAGACCTTGAGCATGCTTGGCAAGTCCTGTCCACACCCCCAACCCACCTCCCCTTCATTCACTTGCATGTAGTTTTCTACATGCCCAGGTACCATTGGTGGAAGAATTTCTTTCCCCCTTCAGTTGTGTTAGCCTTCCTACTAAAGATCAGCTGACATGATGCAATGGGTTTTTTCTGGGTTCTCAGTTGTGTTCTGTGGATCTGTATGGCTTTCCTCCCTTTACCCATACTCCACTGTCTTGATTACTGACAGCTTTGTGACAAGTTTTCAAATTGGGAACTGTGAGGCCTTTCGGGACTTGAGCTTTCTTTTTCAAAACTTTTTATGCTCTTCCGGGTCCCTTGGATTTCCACATGAATTTTAGAATAAACTCGTTGACTTTGGTAGTGACTACTGTACACAGATTTGAGGATGACCTCCATCTTGACAATACTGTCTCCCAAACCATGAAGGTAGATATCTTCCCACATGTGTAGGTTTAATTTATTCCTAAGTATTTTATTCTTCATAATGCTATTGTAAATGAATTGTTCACTTAATTTTATTTTCAGATCGCTCACACATTTGAGACAGGCTCAGCCGGCTATACCTATAACCACAGCTGCTTGGGAGTCTGAGACAACAGGATCACAAGTTCAAGGCTATCTAGGGCAACTTAGGGAAACCCTGTCTCAGAGTAAAATTTAAAAGGACTGGGACGTAACTCAGTGGTAGAGCATTTACCTACCATCCATGAGGGCCTGTGTACAATCCCTAGTACTGCCAAAATGAAAGAACACAACTTAGTTTTGTATATTGATCTTGTGTCCTACAACCTTTCTGAGCCCATTAATTTTTGTGAATTCTTCTGGGTTTTTATATATAAGATAGAGATAATTTTATTTCTTCTTGGTAAAACTTTAAAAGAATTATGTTCTTTTTTTCCCCATTCTGTTTGTTGCTACATTTTAGGTATACAATACAGGTACATTCATCATTGGGATCTTGTACCTTTACATGAGTATCTTGGTTCTTATTTTTTCCCCATTCCCCTGCCCTCCCTTCACCCTTTGCAAAGACTTTGTTTCCATTCTTTTCCTTTTCTCATATTTTTTCTTTTCCCTTCTTTCCTTTCCCCTACCCCTCCCACTTGCTCTATTCCTTTAGACCATTTCTTCCTATTTCACATTATCTGTTATACCTTTTAGTCCTTATTTACACTTTTAGTTTTTCACACCAGAAAAACTATTCAGTATTTACACATGTGTGTCCTATTTATTCCACTTAAGAAGATGGCCTCATTCTGCATCCACCTAGCTATAAATGTCTCTAGTTTCTTGTTCTTTATGGCTGAGTAGTACTCCATTTTATAAAAAGACCACATTTTCTATATCCAGTCTCCAGGTGATGGGCACTTGGGCTGTTTCCAAGTTTTAGCTATTACAAACTGTGCTGCTATAAACATGGGTGCACATATATCACTGTGGTATGATTCCTTTAATACTTCGGGGAGGATACCCAGCAGGGGAATAGCTGGGTCAAATGGGATTTCTAATCCTAGTTGTTTGAGGTATCTCCATATTGACTTCCACAGTGCTTGCACCCATCTGCACCCCCATCAACAATAGAGAGGGGCTGGGGATTTAGCTCAGTGGTTCTGGTGCCTGCCTTGAAAGTGCAAGGTCCCGAGTTCGATGCCCGGTACTAAGAAAAAAAAAAAAAAGATCCAGAGCAAAATGCCTCATTTAAAAAAAAACAAAAAAACAATAGAGAGGGGTTCCTTTTCCCCCACAACCCCACCAGCATTCGTTATTGGTTGATTTCTTGGTAGCAGCCATTCTTACTGGGGTGAGGCAGAATTTCAGCGTTGTTTTCATCTGCATCTCTTGAATGTCCAGTGATGTTGAACATTTTTGCACTATTTCTGCTTCTTTCTCTAAAAAATGTCTGTTCATTTCAGATGCCCATTTTTGAATTGGATCTTTATATTTAGGGGGTTCTGATTTTTTTTTAACTTCTTTATATATTCTAGATGACCTCTGTTTGAGGAACAGCTGGTAAAAAATTTTTTCCCCTGTTGTGCCCAGATTACGAAGTCCCAAAGACCACCAGGAGGCTGTTTCCGATGTAAGCACATGAGGGTCGTTTATTCAAGCTTAAGCAGGGACTCTCAATTGTCACCGACACAGCGGATCAAGATTGAGAGCCCCGAGTTCCAAATTAGTGGGGTTTTTATAGAGGTTACAGCAGGGTTTGGAGATTTTCCACTTAGCAATTACAATGATTGGTCAGCGCTTAACATGCATGAAGTGTACATTTTTGATTGGGCGAACTCATCAGGGGTAAGGGGTGATTACGTATAGGTTTTTACAAGGAAAATGGGGACAAAGGTTAGTGGCCCACTGTCAGGTACTGATGGTCAGCAGACATCCTGACTAATGGTCACGACCACCTTGTGTGGATAGTCAGCACATTAACAGATTGTCCTATAGATAGTGGGCCCGGGACATTTGTTTCTAGGGCAAACAGATGGCTGAGTAATAAACTTAGGAATCTTGAGTTACAGATTGTGTCTTTTGTCCTAGATCAAGCACATTTTAATCATTAATGTGAGAGGACAAAGGAGACTACTCCATTTTGGGCAAAATGGAGTCATTCTGGTCTCACATAAGCAAAATGGAGTTACTTTGGTCTCACACCCCACAGTGTAGGTAGTTCTGTTGGTGGTTTCTCTTGCAGTGCATAAGCTTTGTTATAAGATGAGGTCTGAGTTGTTGATTCTTTGTGCAAGTGCCCGTGCTACGGAGGATTTGTTCATGAAGTCTTTCCCTATGCCAATGTCTTCGAGAGTTCTACCTAACCTATCTTCCAGCAAGTTTAGTTTTTCTGTTTTAATATTTAGATCTTTAATCCATTTTGATTTTAGTTTAGTGCATGGTGAGAAATATAGATCTAGTTTTAATCTTTGGCAGGTTGAAATCCAGGTTTTCCAACACCATTTATTAAATAGACCATCTTTCCTCCAATGAGGGTGTTTGGCTCCTTTCTCAAAGATGAGGTAGTTGAGTGTGTCTGGAGTTGTCTCTGTATCTTCATATCTGTTCTACTGGTCCTCAGGTCTGTTTCTTTGCCAATACCATCAGGTTTTTTTCACAGTAGCTTTGTAGTATAGTTTCAAGTTGGGGTTGTGATACCCCCTGCCATGTCTCTGTTGCCTAGAGTTGATTTTGCGATTCTGGGTCTCTCCTGGTTCCAAATGAATTTTTAGATTGTTTCCTCTAGTTCTGTGAAAGATACTGTTGGAATTTCAGTTTTTTGGAGGCTATTGTGAAAGGGATTGTTTCCCTAATTTCTCTCTCAGTGAGTCTCTTATTTGTGTACAAGAAGGTTGTTGATTTTTGAGTGTTGACCTTGTATCCAGCTGCTCTACTGATTCTGTCATTTAAGTCTAGAAGTCTTTCGGTGGAGTTTGTAAGTTTTTTTTGAATAGGACTTTTTTTCCCCCCTTCCCTAAGAAAATGAAGTGAAGGTTAAAAAAAGAGAGAGAAGAAAGAGCCAAACTTTTCTTTTTTCTTACATCATCATCTCCCCTACTGCAGCCTTAACTTCTAATGACCTCTTCTGCTTTGCTAAAACTAGGTGGCAGTGAATAGATGGAAAATCAAAGCAACTTGTGTGTGATGGCCCCAAGAGTCATGTTGTTTAGGTGGAAAGACATTCCCTCTGTGTCAGTGTGGATTTAATTTTACAAATTCAAATTGGAAATAGTTTTATTTTCAG